ACTTCAGACTTCAGCACCTCTTAAAAAACAAACGCCACCTAACTTAAATTACAATTTTACCCTTTTTATCATCATTCTTATGATTTGTAATTTATTGTTATTTACGTTCATGACTTAATTCTCTACCTTAAAGTATAAGGGACCAAAACAGTAAGAATTTGTAAAACTCAAGGACCGAAACAACGATAAATTGTTAATTACAAGAACGAAAAGAGTAATGAATTACAAATCATAGAGACAAGGCTCCAATTTAAAAACCACAGGAATAAATAACCATGCCTTGAAAATCACTCATGAAGTGACAAATCGTTGTGTCATAGGTTGTCCTCATTAAAAGACAAATTTAGAGTCAAAATCATCCCGGGGGTGATTTGGGGCGATTTTCTCTATATCAGGTATAATATCTGATTTTTTTCCTCCCAAATTAGATACATATGGGACCTCTCTGTACTTTCTGGTCAAAATCACCTCCAAAAAGTCAAAATCGCCTCCCAAGGAAGTTACATGGTTATTTTGTTAAAAAACACTTTGAAAAAATGGTCATTTTGTTAATGTAAAATGTATTTAATGGTTATTTTGGTTAATTTTCCTTTTATTTGGTAAAAATTATATTTTAAAATCTTTATATAACAATTTGTAATTTTATTTTAGTATCCAATACTTATGTAACTGTGAACATGATATATGTGAAATTTGTCGTGTTTTTTAGAGTCTGTTTTTTCAAAACTGCTCTTTTCCGTCAGTTTTTAAATGTGTTCTTTAAGCATATGTTTTCCAAAATAAGAATGAAATGAAAATATGTTTTGTAACAACTCGTCTTACATGGATAAAAAAGTTGATTGGTGAACTCCTTATAAGCTCAACGATGTGGGTTACCAATAATTTCTCATGGTTTTAAGTTGAATTAGAAGTTATTGAGACAACATGTTGCTTTTAACTTGAACATTACAGGTTTCATTTCCATACATGTTACATTTCTATCAAAAAAAAAATTTTTGATTGACCTGGATATCCAATCCGTTATGCAAGCCGACTAATCCCAGAGCGACCACCTGCTTTGCAGATAGCCCGAAGTCACCGCATTTGAACCTCCGTGGCCACAAGAAGATTTTTATTCTTCCTTGGATTTGAACCTGGGACCTCCTGGTACTTTTGATCTTTGCAGCCAAGCTCAAACCAATCAGACACCACCCTTGTAGTTATTTGTATCAAATTAAATACACAAAAAATCAAGATTTGAGAGTTAGAAAAGAAATGCATGATTAAATGATCACCCACTTTTGCAACATGAATCAACAAACCATGCATCTCATTAATCCCTATCCCAATCTACATGTATCAATATTGGGTTCGGTTCAGATAAAAACCAATTTTTCATTGTAAATCATAAGATAAATCTCGACCATTTAATTAAAATTAAAAAAAAAAATCATTAATGATTATTTATACGTCACTATGACATTTATTATTAATATATATTTTAACTTTAACATTCATCATGTATATTCACGTATATAAAACAACGCTTCAATATTCATACAACAGTATGATTTTCACGATAACATTCATGATGAATATATATGTTCACGTGTATACCAATAACTTTTCAGTATTTATACATCAATATAATATTAATAATTAAAATACATTTTTACTATAACGATAAAGGAAGGCGGTCGTGATAGGGAAAAGCCTTTCCTTATTACCAGGAAAAAGAAAAGAGGCCAAATCGCCTGCATAATGAATGTACGTACTATTTATTATGAATATTCATATATGTTCACATGTATATAACAAATTTTCACTATTCCTACATCAGTAAGATATTCATTATAGATGTGCATTTTCACTACAACATTCATCATGAATATTTATGTATAATCATATGTGTATAATAACTCTTTAGTATTCATATTAGTATAATATTTATCATAAATATTAATTTTCACCATAATATTCGTCATGTATATACTTACTATTCATCATGAATATACTACAGTTTCAACTCTATATACTCTACTATTCATCATGAATAAAAGCTTAAAGTTATGGTTTTACACAAACAAACACACAATAAATCAATCAGACAGGTTCTCAATTAGTCTCAATAATGAAGGTGGTAGGTTATGATTTTATACATACAACCACACACCAAGTTAATGAATTAAATCTTGATTAGTCTCAATTGGTCTCGATGGGTTCTTAATTTGTCTTGATGGGTTCCCGATCCATCTCGATAAAAGCTGAAAATGGTAGAATATATTTTTACACACAAACACTAATAAATCAATTAATAGGTTCTAGATGGAAAATGAGGGTGGTTGTTTTGGTTTTACACACATAAACAAACACCAAGTCAATAAATGGAATCTTGGTTGGTCTCGATAGGTTCTCGACCGGTCTCGATGGATGTTGATTATGATGACAAGAATGTGGTGCCAGGTTACGTACTTACAACGTCGAAGAAAATGTTGAAGAAAGTGATGTCGAGTTACGAACTTATAGTGTCGAGTTATTGTACACACTTGAACATACATAAATATTCATAATTAATATTACACACACACACACACACACACATATATATATATATATATATATATATACAACATTTATGTAAAAGAACTATATCGAGATGAATGTCATATCGAAAATAATGAAGAGATAGAAACAAGTGTACATTTTCTTTATAGATATTCACGGTAATGCTCCCTATAGTAAATTCTCGTTTTTAATGTAATTTTTTTTATTGGAATACAATTATTTTTTAAGATAATTTAGTTCAAATATTAAGAAGTAAAATTTTTTAATTAAAAAATTAAAGAAAAATTAATATAATTAAACATGACCATCTTAATCACCTAGATTAATAATATTAATTAGACACTCTATTTCATGTCAATTGTTGGATCAAATACAGATGAAAGACCGAGATTTGCCCCTTGGTTTATGATAAAAATTGGTTCTCATTTGAACTTTTCTCTCTCTCTCTCTCTCTATAGATATATATATATATATGTATATATATATATATATATATATATGTGACATTGATTCACATACAAAGGTTTGATTGTTCATAATTTATTTTCAGTGTGAACTCATATATAACATTGATTCACATATGCATTTTGAAACATTTTTTTTCCAAATTTTTTCAATTATTTGCATATTGATATTAGTTTTTATAATATTTAATCTTATTATTTAAACCGACCCATATATATATATATATATATATATGTGTGTGTGTGTGTGTGTGTGTTGAACTTTATTATATGTTTTTTAACGAATTATGACTTCCAATTATTATTCAATTGTTCTGAAAGTATTTATAACAATCTATTGATTTTAATCATTCTCCTATAAAAAAGACAATTAGCTTTGCACCACTGATAGACTACTTAAAATTCAATTTAAAAGGCCCTACTTAATTTCACAAGCCTTTGTCGTTGTCAGTCAACTACGTAGGGTCTGAAGCCCTTGTGAATCCGTAAATCTTGCCGCAATCTTTTATTTGACATGAAGACAATAGATTCAACAACCCATTTATTTTTGGGGCCAACATGAAAATGATTTTTGAAGTAGGGGTCTAAATGTGAATTAGTTGAAATTACAAGTCCAAGGGTTGATTAGTCATTCAATCAAAGTTATGGACTTGGTTAGAATAAGCTTCAATCATGAATATGGACTGATTGAGAGAACGTATAACTGATCTATGGTCCCCCATACAATATCAATTAATTTCATATCAATCGGAGTGCGTGGGTATACTCTATCAAATATTAGAGACCGTTTATCAATTAAGTGTTTAGCAAAATTATATTAACTTATCGGATGAATATGATAAAAACTAAGAATCTTATCTGATAAGAGCGAGACAATGACCAATAATCTTACTCGGTAAGTGAAGGTGACGATACTTACCACGGTAAATATTCATCAAGTAAATTGTTGTATACAATGCCGTTTTGATGGATTAAAATCTTACCCTGTAACGCCCTATATATGCAACTTAAAGATCGGTATAAAATCAATACAAAAAAAAAATTGATACTGATAAAATTGATACCAAATATAGTTAATTAGTATATAGTATAGACTTATTAATTATAACAGGTTGATACACGTTGAAGAAAAGACTTCCTCATCGCCATAACCTTTCTTTTGCTATTGCTATTAGCCCATTTCTAGTTTAGACTTCAATAAATAAGGTAGCCCACTGGCTTAGATCGGAGTTGTTCAAACCCTCGGAAGACGAGTAGATGGCAAGTCACTTTCTCAAGGAATGGTCTAGGACCGGTTAGAAAGCCATCTATCGGAAACAAGGGTCGAGTTTGAGAAACGGAGTTAATAAATGAAATGGTCTTTTAATAAATAGGACCAACGAGTTGAAAGAGTCGATCCCATCTTGAAGAAGCTAAATATTTGGTCCCTCTCGGTACCACTACAACAAAATCGGATTTATAGGACACTCCCAAATTGTAAGCGGCCTAATAGACATCTTTATAGGACTTAGTTTATAAGACCAAAAAAATGAAGTGTCCTATCTAATGTTGTTGTATTAAGTTTATATGACGTTTTTTGATGTCGTAATAAGTTTTTTTATGACAATTTTAATATAAAGCGTCCCATTATCAACTTTATAGAACATTATTTGAAAAAATGTCCTATAAAAACAAGTGTCCTATAAAAAATCGAGTTTATATGACAATTTATCAAAGTGTCATATAAAGTTGCTAACACGACACTTTGTATTAAAAATATCCTTAAAAACTTTTTAACACCCCCAAAAACATCGTATAAACTTATTACAACACCTTTAGATAGAACGCTTTATATTTTGGTCCAACACCTTTAGATAGAACGCTTTATATTTTGGTCCTATAAATTAAGTCCTATAAAGCGGTCTATTGGGACACTTAATGATTAGGGTGTCCTATAAACCTAATTTTGTTGTAGTATACGATTGGTTTTGATCGAGCTCGAAATTACACATAAACCCCCATAGATGCTTCATTACAGAACCAAAGCAAGACATAACAAGAAGCCAAGTAACTTACTCTAATAAAGAACTTCTAATCACTCTAATGATGTCTGTAAGCGAAACCAGACCATCGAGCAACCCATCACGGTCCACGACCCAAACACGATGAACATGGTTCACCACCACCTTCTCCACCACCTCCGCCACCAGAGATTCAGCGTAGCAAGTCACAAGCTCCCTCGCCGTCAACCCGCCCGATGATGGTCGTACCAAGTTTCTGGTGTATTCCATCACGCTTGCCGACATCCATGATTGCAAATCAGAAGCCGGGCACTCTCGCAGATCGGTCGCCGAAAAAGTACCAATTAGCTTCCTTCCTTTTCCCTGCAAAGTTATTCAACCGATTGGCGTACATAATATGATTGGAAACGACGAATTGAAGCCGAAATTAACAAGTGGTTACGTTTACGAGTTGGGAGTGATCCTCCGATGCAGGATCTGAAGATTCGACTATCGGGACGGCGTTAAGAGAACCAGCTCTCATCGACTTGATGGCGTCGATGACTTTGGTGTGATCAGTGACTCCAAAGATGGGTTCCACCAACGCTCCCACGTCCCGCAAAGAACGCTCCATTACGTGTTTGAGCTCCGATTCGTGTCCCTTCAAGAACTTCATAAGATCCATTTGTGTCACCATTCGGTACGAAGAAGCCGACTCCACCAGCTCCACTCCGGCTACGTTCTCCATGCTACTGTCCACCGGCACTAAAGCACGGTGGATTCCTTTGCTAAACACCTCCATACAGTCCAGAATGCTGCCAAACGTAATACAGTTCATGTTCTATAAACTTATTATATATTTTTTTTCTTATTAACCTGGATATCCAACCCGTCGACTAATCGCAGGACAACCACCTGCTTTGCAAATAGCCCGGAGTTATCGCATTTGAACCTCCGTAATCATAAGAAGTTTTTATTCCTCCTTGGATTTGAACCTGGGACCTTTAGGTACTTTTGACCTTTGGAACCAAGCTCAAACCACTCAGACCACTATCCTTGTGTTAACTTATTATATACTTACTATCCTTGTGTTAACTTATTATATACTTTTAAATAACACTTTAAATAAAATAATCTATTAAGGGGTGTTTAGGATTACTTATAAAAGCTGTATTTTAACTTATTTTAGTCTGGTACCGGTGATGAACTGTTTTCTGGTGTTTGAATAAGAAAAAAGAAACTGTTTATACCGGTGTCAAACCGATGATAAACTGTTTTTGATAAGTTAATCTTTTCTGACTTATGAAAAACTGTTTATTACCAGTTTACAATTTTAACCCTGTTTTATTTAACTCCGGTTTGATACCACATAAGTTAATAAGCACTTTAAAAAAAAAAAAACATAAGTTGTTTTAAATAAACAATCCTAAACACCCCTAAGAATCAAAATACGAAATCGAAACCAACATGCCTGGTGCCAGGGTTTAGTGTCCAAAGGCTGAGACTTTCAAGACAATGGCCGATAACTGACGATACCGGAACCGCCATCCTCTGCTCCAGATTAGTGTCTTCACCGCCACTGCCGCGACCGTCGGGACTATCTCCGGCGATATGAGCCAGTATATCCAACATGGTAACCATCCCTATATAATGCTTTCTAACAGCACCCGTATGCTTATCAGACTCCAATATCATAGACCCACCGGCTCCAATCCAATGACCAGGAGGTGCCGCCACCGGGACCGCCACCACCTGGTTAGCCACCAGGGCGTTCATGGTGTGGGCTAGGGTGGCTGTGTACGGAACCTCCACCAACCTCCGTTTATCTGAAACCAGTTCTTTCACCTTTTTGTCCTTTAAACGGTGCGAATCGATGGTGCCGTGGGTCTTGACACCCATCATTGTTGTCTGCATGGTGGTTAGCTTAGCTTAGATTAGCTTAGATTTGAGAGTCGAAGGATTGAATTAATGTCTGTGACATGAAATGTAAAGGATAGAGGTGGCCGTTGATGAGTAGGTATACGTGGCGGCATAAGAGAGAGCGCATGTGTTTGTATATATATCAGTTTTACGACACGTGGTAGCACATCGCTTTTCATACTCATCCAAAACAATGATGAAACTTATCCTGCATTAAAAATCTTTGTACAAATCTATGAAATGATACGTATAATCCAAGAGAATCATACTTATAGTTTATAGATTCTTCGTGAAATCGAATTGCATTAAGGCTGCACGAACTCGTTGTCTTAAGACAAATTCGTCTGTAGAATTGACGTTGTGTAAAAGATACAACAATCGAATTCAAGTTACAACTTGAACGTAACGGTTAAAAGAGTTTCTGGTGAAGGATTTCGATCTCGAGATTTTCGTAACACCCTTTTACCCAAGGCCGAATAGTAGATTAGAAATGAGTTTTTTTTATTTTATTTTATTAACCTGGATATCTAACCCGTTATGCGATCCGATTAATTTCAGAGCGACCATCTGCTTTGCAGATAGTCCGGAGTCATTGCATTTGAACCTCCGTGCCCACAAAGGGATTTTTATTCCTTCTTGGATTTGGAGCCAAAGTGTCTTGATTTCTTGTGGTAGAGTTTTCATCCTACAAACCTAAAACTATCTTTTTAAAACACCATATGGTTTGTTTTATTCAATTAATTGTGACATTGGATCCGTTAAAAGGTTTCTTTTGTGAAAAACTTTCTAAAGAAAATAATCTAAATTCTGTTGCGTTTTGTTGAAGTAATTTTTAAGCATTACCTTCCATATGACAGGTAGAGATGGTCAAATGAATCCGGCCAAACTAATTAAATCTTAATTTGCATTATTCAAATATATCAGGTTTGTTCGATCGATCACTAACCTATTTCAGGCCAAACTAATTAAATCTTAATTTTATTATGTTATTTTGATCGTGTAAAATCATATTTAATAAATTAAGTAATGTTTATCTGATAAATGTTATTTGATTAGCTACCGTTGGTATACAATCCCTTAGTCTTAATATGTGAGGGGGATATCTAAAGAGATGCACGCTTTGATATTCTATTAGATTCTTTATAGCTTGTAGGCAATGTTCTAAAAAACTCGTTATGGCAGCCGTCATCATGGCATTTCGTGACTTAAGACTTGTGTGTCAGACTATGTTGAAGATATGGTACGTCATGACCAAATATGTGGTTTTTGTAGCGTCATATTTGATTTTTCTCAGACATATATAGTTAATATACAAGAGCTTGATCATTCGATAACTCTAAAATTTATGAGATCTGTGAGAACTTCTACCTTAAGGTTTTGTTTCACATGATTTTTTTATTTGAGTATAGTATTTGATGTATTGATTAACATATGTTTGTGTTAGAGTATGTTTGTTTCATATATAATACAATTTACACCATGAAACTTTTTTACGTGTATTTTTTGTTTCACAAACACAAAAAAAAAAATTCACATTATAATCCCAATACACGTGAAATAAATAAATATTAATCATTATAAAAATCATATGAAATAAAACATTATCCAGCATCCTAAATGTACAATAGGCAATACATTATACATAATCCCTTATCACATGTACGAAGTACTTTTAAGTCCTATTAGAGGTCATGTCCTCGTAAATGTTCAAGATCCGCATGTCCCGCCTCAGCTGCTCCTCTCGCGTGCGTCCCCCTCGACCTGTCACCCTTGACTGTTATGTTCTCAGCAGATTCTCAAGGGTATAATCCTATAAATATAATCACACTTGTTAGTAAAACCAATATTTGAAAGAACATTCAAGGGCATATATGTCATCACACATCTGACTTACAAATAGAAGAGAGACACATGACTTATCGGGTAACAACTTATAAGTTACCACCAAGAGTCACCACCCTCACTTACCTTCTTCGATATCATTCTTTTTCATCAAAATGGATTACTGGTCAGCATCATTTACCCTGTAAATGCTTACCGAATAAGAGTCTTCACCCTCATTTACACAGGTAAGATTCTTGATGCTTCCCATGTTTAACCAACACGCGCTTGTCCGCTAGAGTTTGAAACCTATATATAATCACAATCACAAAAACACACACACACACATATATATATATAGCACATTGTATCTATAGGTTATGCTACATGCACCACTTAAACAGGAAGATAAAACCATAGATAAGCCTAAGAGATATCCAGTTACAACATATGGAGAAACCAACTCCCAGCACACACATGCAAGCACAACATATATAGTCTTGTACAGAAGAACATAAACCAAACCACAACAATAGTTCATAAAAGTTTGACCACCTAACTGAACCCTAATCAACATAACAAGCTGCAACAGCATCCAATCTGATTCAACTCCCTAAGGCTGAACCGAACTGGCTGCTGCTGCAACTGGGTTGGTGCTAGGACCAGCTACACCGGTTTCAGTGGATGGATCATTCCCCCACTGTTTCTCTGATTCCAGGGGCTCAAGAACACAAATTCCACCGTCCGAAAGCCCCAATGCAACTTGATTCGGATCAGAAGGATGAGCAGCAATGGCATTGGGAGACACCAGTAATGAACTGTACACAAGTAAATTTCTCTGTGTTACATGTTATGCAAAATGATTTCATATATATACAGGGTTGGGTTCACATGAAACCAGCCTGTGTGTGAGACTAGAATACAACACTGAAACGTCACAGTAAAACATTGTGAAGATACAAAAAACACCAAACCTTCCCGGCAAACATTCACAATGTTCTGCTGTGAAGGTTTAGAGTTATTTATATAATCTCACGAAAACAGTCTGGTCTCACATGATCTCGGTCTATAGGTAGATTGATACATGGTATCTGTTGGTAGGGAAGTTTATTGTATTACCTGGGGTTAGATGCCAAATATGCTGAGGGATTGATCCGACATTTCAACCTGAGGTGCTGTGATGTGAGGACACTCACACTTCCATCATCAGTGCTCACAAATATCGATTGCCCATCGCATGAATATACAGCATCCGTAATGGAACCGCTTGTTGGTCGGGGAACCCACTGCCAAAATGTTTTGGTTTTCATTAGATAATTAATTAAAAAACTAGATATGATCATCTCTCAATCACCAAGTCTCTTCAATGCTAGAAAATATCAAATGGTTACACATTGCACATACCTGCATCGAACAATCCAGCTTTAAGGGGTCGAAAATGGCAATATGTGTTCCATGAACAACCATAAAAAGCGTCTGATCCAGGTTAAACTGTACACGGGTCCCTCCTACAGGATTGTTTGGTCGTCTAGCAGGAATTTGCAAGAATTTGCTTCCGTGCATTTCCCAGTTATCGGTTTTCCAAACACATAACTGAAAAGTTGGAGTCAAATATGAGGGAACCAGGCACACAATCAACTGTTAATTCTAATGGTAGAGGATTAAAAAGAAGTATTTCTTGAGGAAATTGAGCCAGGAACAGACCTGAGCATCAGCTCCTGATGAAACTAGAAGATTTTTATCAGTGCAGAAGGCAAGCCCGGTTACGCTCTTCTGATGGCCGGTCAGCTTCTTCATTACCTGTAACAGTTCAGAATTTTACAAGTTGAGCGATAATGACTACAACCTTACTAGTCAAATGATAAGCTCGATATATTTATTGTTGGTACAGAAGAATACCTCGTCAACACGAACATTATAGATTTGTACTGAAGAATCTGACATTCCAATGGCAATGATGTTATTGTCATCCGGGTGAAAAACAAGACATGTTGCTGCGGGTGGTGGGTGCATGAATGTCGTCATGGTCTGCACCAAGAAGGAAGCCAGCATTCATTTATAAAATGGAATTTTGTATTCTGAAGAGAAGATTATAGCTCTTTTCCAAGGGAAAAGAACCATAAGTTCATGTAAGAAAAACACAATTACCTTGAATGTGGCCAGATTAAACAAGGATACTTTTCCTCCAGATGCCGACATAACGTAAGAATTATTCTTTGAAAGAGCAAAGCAAGGAACAGCATCTTCGAGATTAGCATCTCTAATATCATTTGTCATTAAGATTCCACTAGAAGGTTGCCACAAATGCGGTGGCACAGCAGTAGTTGCCTATAAAAAGAAAAACACTCGTAAGAGGAAGCCTTCCGAGGGGGAAATAGGTGATGTACCATATGATATTTAGAGACATGAAATTTCAGTACATTTCCTGTCGTGTTTTGCTCGGTTTTTTGCCATTTCCACAGTTTGTGTACAGCATTATAAGCAAGTGCAAGTATCGCACTACCAGAATTTGCATACATAAGCCTTACAATCTGTAAACACAACAAAATCATCAGATGAATCAGGGACTTGATGAACCATGCAAATGAAGATATGCAATTATGCATGAAGGATGGAAGTTAAGAAGAAAAAAAGGAACAAAATGAAGATAATACATATAGTAAAATGCTTAAACATTACCAAATTCCTACATTAACTGCAGATTGAGGGTAAAGGGAAGAAGCTATGGCTATATGTTAACTTCATTAATCTGAGAAGACAAATACGTACCCGTACTGCTAAGAGATTATCAGGAAGTCTCAAGGAACGAAGTTGAGATGGTTCAGTTATTTCCTTTGGCTTCCAAAGATTGGTAGATTCAAGCTCATCAGTGTTTCTAGATCTGACATTTGCCAAATTTTGGCTATCCTGATTCTGGAAATACAAGGAAGCCATTTAATAAACATCAAAAGCAGTAGACGCTGCTAACACTGTTACTATACAAATCTGACTGATCATCAGAAAGATCTAAGGGTCGTTTTACCAAACACTTGCTGGGTAAGCGCTTATCAACAGGAGTCATCACTTTAACTTACCTTGTCCGGTAGCATTCTTGACCATCAAAATAGATTGTTGGTAAGCATCTTTTATCCGGTAAGCACTGCTTACCGGGTAAGAGTCTTCTCCCTCACTTACTAGGTAAGACTTTTGGTCCTTACTAGGCCTCTTACCAGGTAAGTTTCTTGGTCATTGCTAAGCTCACTTGGTAAGGTAAGCGACACATGGTAAGCTCTTACCCGGTAAGAGTATGGTAAACGGCCCCTTAGTCATATTCATTGGCACTATGCTTACCAGAGCAACCATAGCTGCAATCGGTATAGTTCTATCAGGAAATCCTGCGGGTGCTCCAGCTGTTGAACTGGAAGCAGCGGATGCAGTGATGGTAGTGGCCTGAATGGCAGATAATCCATGTAAGAATCACATCTATCTTGGAGTTATATTATCCAAATCCCTATATCAGACTACCTTAGCAACAATCCCAGAAGCAGTTCTAGGAGCTTCGGGTTGATTTTGAATGGATCTTACAAGCCGAAGACCTTCTGCATTCGCAAGTACTTTGACCCCATTATCAGAAGTTGATACAGCCAAGAAAATCCCATCCTTGCTGAACCGAACACAGGGTGAAGCCTGAAAATTATTTAAGAAACCAGTTATGGAAGATATAATTCAAGAACTGGAAAGCACAGCAGGAGAATCTTGAACATATCCATCATGCTGTTACCGGTAATCCACCCTCTGCATTTGTAGTGCTCAAAAGGTGTTTGTTATCCATGTCCCAGAACTTAATTAAACCTTCATCGCCAGCTACCAACAACCTCTTGCTTGCATCGAACTGCACAACACCCAAAGCTTGCTTCCCTAGACCGAGGTATGTTCGTTTGACAGTACCTTCACTTTCATTCCATTCTACAAGGTATGATCCCCCATCGTTACTAGTACCACATGAGAAAAGCCTACAATTTTGCCCATGAAAAAATCAGGAGGGAAATATGCTAATAAGTAAAGAGATCTACCAATGGTTCGGTCGATCAAACATTATAATGAAAAGCCCCTTCTATAAATAAACTGGAAATGATGCATAGATGATGTTGTGGTATACCTCAGTCCATCACTGCTGTATGCCATTCTTGTACAAGTATAACCTGGTGCATCATAATCAAGTCTCGCACCAAAATCATCATATAGCCATGCCTTGATCTTCCCGTCAATAGACGTTGAAAAGATAAACTGGCCAAGATAAATATTTCAAGTTAGAAGAAGACGAACTTCTACCAATAATGTAAAATGTGAAGTTTATAATATTGATATTGAAGGTACTAGTATCATGCCTGAATATTTCCCCTATGATGTGGGCATATAGAATAGACTGGTGCACCATGGCCTTCAAAGGTGTGCTGGTTGGCACCCGTTGCAGCATCCCAAACCTGCACAAAAATGAGAAATTATAGGGACAGTTCATATTATTGTGTCAAGGGTGAATGGTGCAGTAAACAAACCTTAATACTCCTGTCCTCTCCACAAGTTATGATGCATAATTTCCGGTTTGGAATGGCAAAGGCAAGATCACTAACATTGCCAACATGAGCCTCTATCTGAATAAATTAATTAGAATTTCAAGTCATCGACTCCTTGCATTTAGTAATTAGTACAAGAAAGAAAAGACTATAAATACAAGTAAGATCATGATCAACGAGCAGGTTAAAGCAATTTTGACAGTCTTGTTTTCAGCTGGATGTGAAGTTTAGTGATGCTAGAAGTTTATTACATGACACACCTCAAGGTGATCTCGTAACTCATTACCAGCACGATATGCATACAAGTGTACAATGTGTTTTGAGTATGCAACACCTGTTACAGATATCGAAACACATTAGTCATAGCCAAAATCTTCATAGTTACTTAAAATGAATTTCGGTATATATCCTTAAAAGAAGAAAAGTGTTTTGTGTGCAAGATCCTTAAACTGGAAGTGATGTGCACACATGTTTCCTCTACTTTCCATTTAAAAAAAGATGGAAGAGAAATCAACAAATACCTAAAAGCCGTCCATCTGGACTCCACATAACACGGTTTACCGAAACAGGATATTCATTGGCCAAAGAAGCCTGAACAACATGACAGAGTACAGAATCATTATGCCAGGGGGAATAAGTGATTACAAGTTTTATAGGAAAAGCAAAATGGGGTATTGGACTCCCAATCAAGAGTCATGCCTGAAGAGCCATTGAACATGTCGCGATGTTCCAAACATTGAAACTTTTATGTGCAATCCGCAACCTGCTACCTACCTCCCAAAGGGCAATGTCACCGGTGTTTGCTCCAACTGAAATGAGAGAGGAAAAGTCACATGCAAAATTCTTACATACAGAAGATACTTCATTCTGAAACTTGGCTTTTTCCTGGACGGCTGGTTGCCTGGTCAATTGCAAAACCAGAGAGATAGATATGTTCAAGATGGAAAGAACTAACCTAGAAGCAGAGTTTGGTAAACAGGATGAAAATCCATGCTCTTCACATCTGAAGCATGGTTTATAGTTAAAATAACTTTCTTCGGCAAGTCATCAGGACTTAAACCGTAGGCATGGCTCTGACCAGGACGCATGACTGATGATGTAGGGAGATTATTCTGCAGAAGTTCATACATCAGATAAAAAAAGCTACTACACATGCTCAAAACATGGACAACTTGAGGTTGAATAGATATAGAATGGGATCAATAAAGGCGAGAATTCTCCCTGTCCATTATGGTCCCACAAATTCAAGTTTTGCAACTCAAGGAAATTTCATTTGTCTATAAATTTTTGTTATATTCTTTTTTAAAAATTGTTCATTCTTCCGCGTGAAACTAAATCATCTGATACCCAACCCCTTATCCAGCATGCTAGAAAGAAATTAAACAATGAAAATGCAATTTTTAGTGTGAGTAGCATCTCTGAGACTTCCATGAGAACTGAACACACTTCATCATGACAGAATCCAATAGTTGCAAGTCACAAAGACAAACTACAAGATCTACCTGCTCTGGTATCCCAAAAGGTCTTGATCTCTTCAAGGTAAGCTCAGAATCTGCAGTTTCACATTAAATTAGTGGACTGTTCGATCTAGTGGGAGTGTGGAACACTTTAGAATCAATAGCAGAACAACATGTAAATAGAACAAGAAGAGCAAGCATGTCAGATCAAGCATTGCACTTGTCCCATGGAAACATTGTCACAAAGTCACCCCCTAGAAACAAGAAAACCACAGTTTGAAAAGACTCCAGGGACGGCAAAGAAATTGTACTCCTGGATCTTCAACGCACCCAACTATAAATACTGGTGTCTATGTTAAAGGAAGCTTCTACAAGTTTCATTTGCTGCTGTTAGATAAGAGTTTCCAAAGCCATGTGTAGAACCTACTACCATAACTAATGCAATTCATTGATTTTGCATTGTCTTTTGTTACAGCGGTCAACTTTTAAATAGTAAGCTAAATGAGACGGTTCCTTTTTTCCTTTCTCCTGTAACCTTACTTGTGTTACATAATCTGATTGGAATGACTAGAAAATTAGCTTAATATCAAAAGGTGATGGGATGACTCTGTTTCACCTGGATACAACCTAAGAGATTACTTAAACTGATACATGGGATGAAGGTCTTTTAAGTATCACTAGTGCTTAATTAATGCAATGTGATGATATCCCATGATTATATGTATCATATCCGTCTCATCTACCCTGCTCAATACCGCTTCTTAGCTCCTGCTATGTTCATGTATAGAAGAGACATCATCATGGTAGCTAGTGATTAAAATAAAAGCTAGAAGGCACATAAACATGACTTGGTATACTAGGTCCTTGTTCAACTATGTTGCATGAGAAAGACACGTTCAACTTCTGAGGAAAAATACATGTAAAAATATGTAAGCAACTATAAACTCCCAATAAACAAATTAACAAAGGTACCCGCAGCGTTAGGAGCAGCAGGAACGAGAGCCCCTCCAGAAATGGGATGGTGAGGCAAAGAGGAGGGATGGGAGGAGTTGACTATCCCTTGTCCATGAGACGTAGCAAGAAATGCCGGTGCTTCAGGTGGCTGCATTGGCTGAGAAGAACAAAATAATATGTCATTCACATATAAAACTAATGGTAGCAGTTCCAAATGTAAATTGGCTTTTTTTAATTAACTTGCAACATTAACACCTACCGGTTGGAAACCACCTACCCTAAGCACGGAACCCATTAGCTGATTGGGCACAGGGGATGGAGCCTGAGCAGCATTTGATTGCCGACAAGCATGGTCCACAAAGAGAGTTTTGATTTCTGGGTTAGGCTTCGGATTCTTGCAAAGTTGGTGCTGCCAGTTTAGGCTGCAAAAGTTGTTGGAATAAGTACGCCAACAGAGCTTACTTAATAGTGGCAGCAAGAAACTTCTGAGCAATATTACCTCTGGTTTATTAACAAACGTAGCCTTGAGTTCTTGAAACCAGGAAATAGACACTTTTCACGCAAATCTGGGTTTGTGTCAACCAGTTTCTTGAGCTCAGCAAGCAATACAGCCCTGGCTGATTTAGTATCTGTATACTTAGAAAGCTGTTCGTTTTCCCTGAGAAGTTTTCTCCAGTAAACACATCAAACGTATAGATGTAATAAATATGAACATTATTTAAATATTGGTTTGTACCTATTCTACTGTTGCTACTTACGAATGTTGCATTTAGACAACTGCATTCCATAACTTCCAAAAGGATGGTGGAAAAGAAATCCTAGCTGCATTCTGGCAGTAATTTTTGAGTGAAAAGAACAAGGATTCCTTTCTACTTTTTGTCAGTTCTAAGCAACATTTAACCATGCTCTCTTGTCATTGGCCATATTGGAATCTCTTATTACAAATTCCATTTTTTTCACCTACCTCTACCTCTACCTCTCCTTCTCCTATGGCCAATATTCCCTAGGTGCAATTCAACCTTCTTCATTGTATATCTGAATTATAATGGCTAAACTATTATGATGTTTTATTGTCTCAATTATGGATGTGCCTAATAATGTGAAGAAATTCCAAAAGAGTGTGATAAAGTCACAATTCTCTTGCTAGGCTACAGATTCCATATACAGATGAAGATGTGCATGTTAGACAACACCTCCTACAACCACTATATTACATGGAGACTAATTAATATTATCTCTTCTAACATCACCTCCAACAGTTCCTAGTGTCCATAAAATTTCATGAAACAAGGCCCATCTTTTCTCCAATTGAAGTGGCTAGGGCAGACCAAGAAAAGGTGAAGTGTGCAACAACCCTTCAAAAGACATATGTAGAAACTCCTATAACCCCGATGATCTGGTGCAAACCAACCATCCTCTAAGCAGGAACATCAACTAGATAAGAACTTGAAAGCCACATTCCATACAGGTTTACACAACTTGAAAGGACATGTCAAAACCATGATGAATTTTTTCCTTAGAAAAATGTTGAAATAGTTGAATAGGATATACTAAAGTAAGGCGGTTACAACTGAAGTGGGGGGATTCTTCTGTGACTCACATGAAGACCATTCTTTTGCTATAGAAAACTAAATCCAGCAAAATGATTAAGAAAACAACAGTTACAAACTTTTATTGTGTGCATTTTTCCATGACATCTTATGTGATGACAGTCTAACAAAACAAGCACACCAAACAGATTGTATGGTCAACATAAAGATCAAAAGTACCTAAAATTCCCCATGGTTAGAAGGAGTGTCATTTCCTTGAATAGATCTTCATTGAACGTTTTGAAAACTTTCAGTTCATTGTTAAGGATCTCCAAAGCTTTTGCGTGATCCTTCCTGTAACCAACAAAAATATGTTGACAAATTATACAGACTACTGAAAATGATAACAATCAAAAGAGCTTAATTACCTGTCCAAAGCCTCCAGGTATTTCTGTTTACGAATCTCGAATAACATTTTCACCGAATAGCGGTTATCATTAACATGTATGAAACCAGCCAAGTACTTCTCCAACTCTTCCCAATTCCCATTAGTAACCAGATCCTCAACATACTTGACATTACAGAAAAGTCCAGACTCGGATTCCAACCTTAATTCACAAAAATAAAATCATCACAATCCACAACAAATCCCAGAAAGCTAAAAACCAACAATAACCTGAAAGGATTTACCTATGCACTGATTCCTTATAACTCTCTTCATCTAAGAACTGAAGTATCAGAAAAACAAGCTCTTTGGACAGGCCAGCCATCATCTCCGTCTGATTGAATCACATTTCAACAAAAAAACACACAAATCAACTAGGGTTTTCATCACTACTAAACAAAATAACTCGAAACAAAATCAAAATTGAATCAAACAAATTTAAAAACAGTACGTATACATACTAATAATAAAAGAAATTGACGATAATTTCTCTACCGCCTATCTACGCCTCACCTGTAAAAAATTTACACACGAACACACATCAATATACCTCTTAGCAGCAACAACAACAACAACAACAACAACAACGTGCTGTCTGTTGCTAGTTTCCAAGTGTCTCAACAATTACGTTGCTCAACATCGTGAATTCTTAGCTTTCCATACATCGATCGAATACTCAAACCGTATGTATATACATATACATACACATATAGATATGGAGAGAGAAACTAAAAGATCAAATGAAGAAAAGATTACCAGAGACGTGATCGACGCAGAAGACGGAGATGTTTTCTGTGTTCACTTTCTCTCTCTAGAAATTAGTATGTGTAAGAGGAGAGAGAGAGAAGGAACTGTGAGTGAGAACCAGAGCTATCAGGGTGCTATTTATAAAGGTATTTTGGGATTTGTTGGGGTTCGGATCCCCAGACGCGCCTATAAAACGTTACGTAAACGTTCTGATATGGAAACTTTTGACAACACGTGTCACGCGATTTCCACGTCCGTGGTTTTCACTTGCCTACAATCGCGAGTGGGTTTGCGGTGGTCCCCACCATTGAGACTCTTTTAGGTGTAGGCCAACATACATGGACTATCTTATCAGTTTAGTAATAGATAAGAGGTTCTACTTATCAAAAACACCTTCTGGAAGAAGCAATTAAGATATTTACCGATTAAAAAAATGCAATTTTTATTTTAAAATAATATTAAAATGATTATTTTTAATATATACTAGAAGTGCAATGCAACGAGATACATTTTGATTTTAATATTTCATTTGATTATTTATTTTGGTCGATGTTATGATATGGTCTTATGTGATTTTGGAAAAACGATAATATTTTTATTTTTTTTAATAAAATATAAATTTGAAGATATCATAAAAATTTGTCAAAAATAATACGATATTAATATTAAATTAACTATTTAAAATTCCTCACTTTTTTGTGTAATTTTTAATTCAATTTTTTATTATAATTTAATTTAGTTTCGATAACGAAGTATTTTATATTTGGTTTAATAATATAATTTTCTTTTAAAGATAATAATTAATTATTTTGTTCGAACTTGATAATTATCTTAATTATATTGTAAATTTTTTATATTTTAAAATGAGATGTTTATCCTCTATTTGATTATGTTTATCTGCAGTTACTTACACGAATTCAAACATGTAACTTTAATAAGTTGTACTTGTGCATAATCTACTTGTAATCTTGAATTTTAAGTATTATGCATCAATATACAGTACTTCATGCATAAAAAATGATTTTTAAAAGTTTTTGTCAAAAATATTTATAAGATAGTATAGATATATTCGGTGCCAAAATAAATATCCACAATGAAAAAACACACAGTTTTAAAATGTATAATTATTACATTTTTTTATATAATTAAATGACATTTTTACCTTTAATAATAGAGAAAGGAAATTTTTTTGTTACATAATTAAAGGTAGAATTGGAAAATAGATAATTATTTATTTATTTAAATGGACATTTATATCTTTATATTTATATAAATTAAAATAGAAATATACATATTTATATCTTTATATTTATATAAATTAAAATAGAAATATACATATTTATATCTTTATATTTATATAAATTAAAATAGAAATATACACATTTATTTTAGGACAAATTAAAATAAAAATACAAAATATTATATCATACTAAGCCATTTAAGTAAAAAATAAATTGTTGAACAATATATAATATTTTGTAATGAATGATTTTTTTAATTTCAAGTTTAAAAAATTACTTTTAAAAAAATTGTCTGAACAGATAAAGCTAATTAGGTGTGTATGAGTGAGGAGCTCTTTGCATTATATATTATACGAATAAAGTTGTCTGTGTAGATTAATTTTGTATATAGATTGCAAAGATTTTTGTTTAGAGTGTTTTTCATAGATGAAAGGAGTGTATTTTTTAATTATGAGGGATATATTTGGGGAAAAAAACTTGGTTTTCTGCATAAAGTTTTCACTGAAAAGCTTAGTGAATAAATTACTATCTATGTCATTTTAGAAGTTGTTTGGCAGTTGCTGAATGGTTTGGTACAGAATGATTAAGTGGTCAGAATGATTAAGAGGCTCTTATGATATAGTGCAAAATGAAATATAATTGTTTGGTAATTGTTTACAATGAAATTAAGACGTTAAATGGTTAAGGAAGGTCTATGATACAAAATCATTATGGGGACTTTAGAATCATTAAGAGGCAGATTTTTTTCTGTCAAACAAGATTCACCGCTTAACGTTTCAGATGATGTCTCTTAATGAAACTATTAAGAGGTAAACAAACAACCCTTAAGTCATGTATAACTGACTGAATAAGTTATGAGTCTTATTAAGCTACTAACATACAGCTAATATATATACATATAAACATAATTTTATTAAAATTTAAGAATTTTAAATATTTTATGTATAATTATATACCATTATATATTTCTATATTCGGTCAAACATCACGGTATTTATGATGTGACAATGTGTCTTTCTTTTTCAGTTCGAAAAAACGTGAGTTCACATGGACCAGCAATGTATGTTGAACTGTCATCGCTTTCCTGATTTTATTTCTATTTCCGTTACAATTCATATTATTTGATTTTAAAATCATAAGACTTGCACTGCGATTCACATTTTTAAGGTTTACGTTATGTTTGGCAAACAGCCGATAAGTTTTGTTGTAGGCTGAAAAACTAGTTATTTGTTTATAAGTTAGTTGTTAGCTGAAAATTTAACTGATAAACTAATCATGATTGGCAAAAACTAGTTGACAAATGTAAAATGACCTAAAATGACATTCGAAAATTACTTAGGGTCGTTTACTAAACATTTACTCGAAAAGTGCTTACCGGGTAACTTTCCATACCGGATGAACATGACAAGGGTCAAAAATTCTACCAGGTAAGAACAATGATAAAGATGAAGAGTCTTACTCGGTAAGTGAAGGTGACGACTCTTACTCGGATAAGTGCTTACCGGGTAAATTGTTGCATACGATACCATTTTGATGCACTACAATTTTACTCGGTAAAATAAATTATAATGTTGACGTTTAACGGTAAGCACTTACCCGGTAAGCATTTAAGTAAACGGCCCTTTAGTTGTAACATTACATTACATAATATAATTAAAATAAATCACTATAACGTCTCATCATATTAAAATTGTGATAACTTTGAAAACTAGTACATCAGTGTATTATTTCATATAATTTTTTGGGAAAAATCTAGAAAACTTAATGGACTTTAGTGTTTGGAATTACTAAGTAATTTGATAATTTTTTGGAACAAATAAGTCATTGGAAACTCCAAAAACTTTTAAACAACTCATTGGACTTTTTAAAACTTGTTAGATACATTATTATTATCTATAAAACTGATTAATGTGGTAAAAACATGGAAAATGCCTGAAAAAAATCCAGTTGGACTTTCATATTTTGAATGATTAAGTCCCTAAATATTTTTGAACTAAAAAAATACTTACATCTATAAAATAAAACAAATATACCCCAAAAAAAATACTTACATTTAAAAAAAAAGTATTTAAATTTAAAAAAGAATATTGATAAAAAAAAATAGAAAATATTTTGTCAATTTTCCAAATTAAAAAAATAAAAAAGGATTTAAAAAAGATTACTAATTAAATTTATTTTAATTAAATATAAAATATATTTCGTATATGATTTTTCAAATTATAAAAAATATAAAAAGATTTAAAAATAATTACCGATAAATTATTTTAACTAAAAATAAAATATATTTCTTGGTGATTTTCCAAATTAAAAAATAGAAAAATAATTTAATGCAATTATTGACGGATTAATGATAAAATTCAACTAAATACATAATTGATTAAAATTTGTCGCTAATGTTCATTGGTATATATGCATGGATTACTTACATCTAATTGATAGCTAACTTGACCACCCATTAAGATTCATAAATTACTTATATCTAATTTAATTAAATATATAATTGATTAAAATTCATCGCTATTTTTTCTTTATTTTTTTAATTTGAAAAATCACCAACGAAAAAAGATATTTTTTATTAAAATAAATTTCATTAGTGATACTTTTTAAATCTTTTTTATTTTTTTCTAATTTGAAAAGTGATTGATAGAATATATTTTATTTTTAATTAAAACAAATTTCATCAATAATCTTTTTTAAATGTAAGTATTTTTTTGTAAAAGTAAGTACTTTTTGGTATATTTTGTTTCATTTTATAGATGTAAGTATTTTTTTGGTTCAAAAAATGTTAAATACCTGATCGTTCAAAATAGGAAAGTTCATTGACTATTTTCCAGACATTTTCTATTATTCTACCACATTAACCACTTGTGAATGTCATAAGAACGTATCTAACATGTTTTAGAAAGTCCAAGAAGTTATTTAACAACTTTTGAAATGTCCAATGACTTATTTGTTCTATAAAATTGTCCAAGAACTTAATCATTCTAAACATTAAAGTCCATTGTGTTTTTTTGACTTTTCCCAAAAAAAAAGTTCACTTAAGACTAAGATTCTGAATATCGATTAACATATATTTGTTTCATAATTTGTTTATTGCACGTGTATCTGTTTTACTATATGAACATTTTTAGCCTGTTTGTGAAACAAAAATTACAAGTAAAAAGTTTCACATTGTGAATAACATACATATGAAACAAACACATTATGAAACAAATATATGTTTACCGATACAATACTTTAAGATAAAAGTTTGTACGATTACCACAATATATTGAGTTATTAAATAATTAAATAAAATAATTTAATATATTGATTAAATTAAATTGTTGGGAAAAATCTAAAAAACCAAATGAACTTTAGTGTTTGAAATGATTAAGTCTTTGTACAACTTTTTGGAACAAATAAGTCCTTGGACATTCCAAAACATGTTAAATAACTTATTGCATTTTCTAAAACCTGTTAGATACATTCTTATGACCTATAAACTGATTAATTTGATAAAATAATGGAAAAAGTCTGGAAAAAAAGGCAATAGACTTTCATATTTTGAACGATTAAGTCTATAAATATTTTTTGAACCAAAAAAATTTTACATCTATAAAATGAAACCAGTATACCAAAAAAGTACTTACATTTAAAAAAATATTGATGAAATTTATTTTAATAAAAAATATTATGTAAGTGATTTTCCAAATTAAAAAGGATTTAAAACATATTACTGATTAAATTTATTTTAATTAAAAATAAAAATATATTCTATAAAAATAAAAAAAAAATGATTACTGATGAAATTTATTTTAATTAAAAATAAAATATGTTCCGTTGGTCATTTTTCAAACTAAAAAAAAAAAAAAAATTTTGATTAAA